AACTAATTTATCCCTTTAAGACATTGTAGCTAGAGTTTTCCTGCCTGACCCACAGTCAGGACAAATCTCTCTCACCTGCCAGTCCCACAGCTGCTCAAACCCGACCAAGTAAACACAGAGACTTACATTGGTTACAAACTGTATGGCCGTGGCAGGCTTCTTGCTAACTGTTCTTACAGCTTAAATTAATCCATTTCCATTAATCTATACCTTGCCACATGGCTTGTGGCTTACCGGCATCTTCACATGCTGTTTGTCATCGTGGCGGCTGGCAGTGTCTCTCTGACTCAGCCTTCCACTTCCCAGCTTTATTCTCCTCCTTGTCCTGCCTACACTTCCTGCCTAGCCAATGGCCAATCAGTGTTTTATTTATTGACTAATCAGCAACACATTTGCCATACAGAACATCCCACAGCAAGATATCTTAATTGACTCACCAACTCTGCCGACTACATAGAACATTAGAAGTCTGAGCGAATTTCAAAGCAGCTACCTGGTGTTTTAGCAGTCCAAAATGAGAAACCATAGAGAGTCCACCACCCACTAGGAGAGAAAAAGCCAAATAGACTCCAGTCCAGGTGGGATGGAGATCTGGCTGCACATAGCTTGGGCCTGAGCTGGGGGCCTGTAAGGCCACAAGCAGCTTTTTTAGTGAATTCTTGCCACAAATGTTGGAATATTGCTGTGACAGACCTGACCATGTTTTTGGGAGGATTGTGGAAGAACTTTGGAACTTTGGGCTAGAAAAGTCATTGAGTGTTGAAGCCTCAGTGGGATGTTCTGTGGGAACTTAGAAGATAAGAATATTAAAATATTGAGAGAAGTACAGAGGATGCAGCCCTAGCTTGCAAAGTTTCAGAGGGAAGTTTAAAGACTCTGTCAGAGCCATTTGCTATTTTGAATTAAGATCTTGTAGTTCTGGTTAGCTGCGGATGAAGAATCAGCTGTGATTAACAAGATACCAGAACTATTAACGCAAAATTTTGCTTTCCTAGGATACTTGATGCTGGTCGGCTGGAGCTAAGAAATTAGTGGTGATTAAGAAGAGACCAGCATCACTGAGGTTAAATCTTCTGGGAAGTGTTTTCTGAGATCACAGAGAAGCTATGTTCCAGGAGCAGCCAAAGTTGTACTTTGTATTGTCAGCTGGAATTGGTAATGTGTAAGAGTCACTCAAGTGGTTCTGGTTTAAAGTCATGAAGGAGTCATGGAGAGTCATGAGGCTTGGCACTATGAGAGGCCAGGAAGGGCAATTGGTTAAGGTGCAGCCTCAGTGTCAGTTGAAGTCCCAGGACTGAAGGGACCATGCAAAGAAATTGAGATGTGGCATCATAAAGAGAGTCTTGGAGAGGCTATTGGTAAAAGTGCAGCCCAGTTGCAGCAAGGAACCCCAGCATTTTGATGATTCCAGTACCATGGGATGACCACCAAGAATAGTAGTAGTAGTGGAGTAGAGAAAGCTGGAGCCTAGAAGATAAACTGTGTGTGCTACAGAGATCAGAGCTGGAGAAATGACCCAAGCCCTCTGGAGGAGACCAGAAGATCGTGGCTGGATCCCAGATATTGGACAGTTGGAATTTTGTTTTGCTTTTATTTTATTTGATTGTGACTGGGCCCTTACTCTTCCCTCTTGTAGTAAGAACACATTTTTATGGAACCCATAGTTGAGCAACTTTGAATTTTAAAAGACTTTGGGTGTTTGAAAAGGTTGATTATTTTTTAAGTAACTGAAATTTTAGTGTGTTTAAATTTGTTAAGACTGTGGGACTTTTAAAGTTATTTAAGATCTTGGGGATGAATAAGAAAGGAAGGGTTGTGGCTTAATAGTGATGTGTTTGCATGTCAAGTTGACAAAGGGTCAGTTGTACAGGGTAGTTTTGTGTCAACTTGACACAAGCTAGAGTAATTGGAGGAAGGAGACTCAGCTGAGGAAATGCCTCCTTGAGATCCATCTGTAAGGCATTTTCTCATCAAGTGATCAATGCCGGAGGGCCAGCCCATGGTGGGTGGTGACATCCCTGTGCTGGTGATCCTGGGTTCTATAAAAAGGTGGGATGAGGAAGCCATGGAAAGCAAGCCAGTAAACAGCACCTCTCCATGGCCTATGCATCAGTCAGGTTCTACCTCCAAGATCCTGCCCTGCTTGAGTTTCTATCTTGACTTCTTTCAGTGATGAACAACAGTGCTGAAGTGTAAGCCAAATAAACCTTTTCCTCCCCAACTTGTCTTTTGGTCATGGTGTTTCATCTCAGTAATAGAAACCCTAACTAAGACAGGGAGGAAAGAGCTTTATTTGTCTCACACTTCTAGGTACAGTCCATCATAGAGGGAAATCAATGCAAGAACCTTAAAAGCAGGCCTAATTGCTTTTTTTTTTTTTTTTTTTTGGTTTTTCGAGACAAGGTTTCTCTGTGTAGCTTTGCGCCTTTCCTGGAACTTGCTTTGTAGACCAGGCTGGCCTCGAACTCACAGAGCTCCACCTGCCTCTGCCTCCCGAGTGCTGGGATTAAAAGAGTGCGCCACCACCGCCTGGCTCTAATTGCTATTTTATGCAGAATTACCTGCACCCACACATAAGAAGAATCTTAAATGGTCCTTTTAATAAAAAAAAATCCTCAGCCAAATATTGGGGTGTATACTGAATGATCAGATAATTGGAACAAGCCACAGCCAACCTCACCTTGCCAACTCCTCAACTGATCTTGTTTCCTCAGACTGAAAGCCTCTGAATCTTTACCCAAAAGTGTCTCCTCTGAACTGCTGAACTGATAAACTGCTGCTAAAAATCCTAAAAGCTTAAAACCTTCTAATTCCTGGTCCTCACTCCTTATATACCTTTCCACTTCCTGCCATCACTTCCTGGTATTAAAGGCACATGTCTTTCCCAAGCAAGACATGAGATCTCAACTCCTGGGATTAAAGAGGTGTGCCAGCACTCCTGGCTCTGTTCCTAGTGTGGTCTTGAACTCACAGAGATTCAGATGGATCTCTGCCTTCAGAATGCTAGGATTAAAGGTGTGTTCCACCACTGTCTGGCCTCTGTGTCTAATCTAGTGGCTGTTCTGTTCTCTGACCCCAGATAAGTTTTATTAGGCTACACAACATTTTGGGGGACACAATATATCACCACACCCATGGAACTCACTCCAAGTCAATGAAGTAAAACAGAATCTGTGAAGGAATGCTGTTTGGTAGTTTGCTCATAGGTTCATGCTTAGCTAGCATTTTTATATAGCTCAGGCCCACCTACTTAGGGAATGGTGCTGCCCACAGTGGGCTGGGCTCTCCTACATCAATTTATGACAGTCCCCTACAGACATGCCCCCAGGCCAATCTGACTGGGGAAACCCCTCAAATTAGACTCCATTCTCAGGCTACTCCAGGCTGTGTGAAGTTGACAGTTAAATCTAACTAGGACACCCCTAACAGGGCTTTTGGTTTTCTTGGTGTATACATATAGGAATATAAGATTAAGTTCTGTGGGATGGTCTGTACATGTGGTGTTCTTCATGCTGACACTAATTTGTTGCAGAATATTTGTCAAACTATGCAAAGATGTGTTGCATTTGTTTAACTATGCAAAGATGTGTTGCATTTGTTTAACTATGTAAAGATGTGTTGCTGTCTTATCTTGCCTGTCTAAGGCACCCGATTGGTCTAACAAAAAGCTGAACAGCTAATAGCAAGGGAAGAGGTATAGGTGGGACTTCCGGGAAGGGAGAGTAAATAGGTGGAGGAATTTAGGCTGGGGGGAGGGGGAAGAAGAAAGAAAAAAGAGACACCAAGAAGACATCAGAGGCCAGCCAGCCAGACTCAGAGGAAGCAGAAAAGTAGGATATACAAGAAAGAAAAAAAAAGGTAAAAAGCCCTGAGACAAAATGTACATGAATTAAAAACAGGTTAAATTAAGTTAAAAGAGCTAGTGGGGCAAGCCTAAGCCAAGGCTGAGCATTCATAATAAGTCTCTGTGTCTTTATTTGAGAGCTGGTTGACAGCTCAAAGAAAATTCCAAGGACACTAATCTATTCTGATCAGGGCCTTGCCTTCAGGACCAAATTAGCACCCAAAGTCCCCATCATCATATACCAGGAAGTTAGGACTCCATCATGGAAATTTGAAGATAATGTTACCATTTAATCCCTAATGAGTTAAGCATTTTGGCTGGGTTGTAGCCGAGTACTCTCTTTATATGTTCTTAGTCAGATCTAGGTCAGAGGTCTCCTGTCCATGTCTAATGCAATCACAGGCAAATGGCTCTTAATCCTGTACCCACGTGCAACAAAATCAAGCAGAAACAATAGAGAATAAGTTCTGGATATTGGAACCAAAGCAAAATGAACAGGGTAAAAAGTCTATCCCAGAAAGTAAATGTCCTAATTTATCAGATATTGGCTTGATTTTCATAGCGATGATTTGCATAACAGAAGTTAAATGTTAAACTTAACATAAACCGAGGGCATAAGTTCTGAGGGCGTCTTTGGAGCATGTGGTTGTCCTACAGATGGCTGGGAGGTGGATTTGTGGAGTTGGAGTGGGGGAAAGTAGGATAGAGAGAAGAACGGAATGGAAATTGCTAAAACCCCATGGAATTGTTTATGCTTCAAGATGTTAAGACTAGAGGCACTTAAGGACCCCGGGATGTCACCACCCAGACACTTCTGGGATTCAAAATTGAAAGAAAAAAAACGTTTGTTTTTCAAATGTAGAGCTTCTTCAATCATTTAAAACAAAAACAAAAACTGTCTACAGTGTACCAGGTTTGTCTGTAAAACAAAGCACGTCATACATAGGCACTTTGCAGTTTCCAAACCTCAGAGGTTGTAGTGTTCCCGTTGCTCAAGCAGGGTTAGAGGGGGTTTCTGGACTACCCAACCTCATTTTCCTTGGCCAGGCAGGTGGGCGGATTAGCTGTTGCTGAACTGTGTTGCCCCAGGCGCCACGCACCGCCCTCCCCGAATCGACCCCGCCCCTCCCGCCCCCCCCCCCCCCGCCTCCTCGCGTGGCCTTGTGGGTAACGCGGGGCCGCCAGTTGACAGCTAATGGCGGCGACCGCCTAATACGAGTGACCAAGCGGCTGAGCAGGGCGGCAGGGGGCGCGTCACGGAGCCTGGCCTGCCGCCGCTGCACTCCGGACTGCGGCTCACCAGAGGCGCCTGGCTTGACGAGTCATGGACAGGCCGGTGGCAGCGGCGGCCGCGGCGGCGGCGAGCTGCGAGGGCGCTGGGGGCTCGGGGCCAGGGCCGGCAGCTGGCTGGAGACCATCTCGGCTTGCGGGGGGCGCTTCGGCCGGCTCCCGGCAGCCCAGCATGGAGACCCTAGACAGGTAAGTAGGGCCCTGGACCCCACAGCCTCTCGGTGCCCAGCTCAAGGCCCAGTGTCCCCTCGCGGTTCCTGGCTCCGGGTCCAGGGCCAAAGCGGGGGTGGGCGGCTCCTCGACAGTCACTTCTAGCCTTCCCTGTCCGAGTTGTGCCCTAGGACCTGCTGGGGATTGGGCACCTGTTCCCTTCCACTCTGTGAGCTGACAGCTCCCTGAGGCCTTGGAGCTGTCAAACCTGTGCCAATACAGTAGTTCCTTGAGAACCCCTTTTCTGTTTGTGGCCCGGGCCAAGAATCCTCTCAGAGGAAATTTCGCTTGGCTTCTTGTTTTTAACATCACCTTCTTGCCTAAATCGTGTGATTTTAAGATCCAGTTTCTCTGCTGCTGCTTGGGGTGGAGACTGGGAGGTGAGACACCCCTTCCCCCCCATAGGCCACAGATCTGTCACTGATGGTAAAGATACACAGATCTGAAAAACTGAGATGGACCTCTTCTGTAATGCTTATGAGACAAGAATACAGTTGTGTACTTTACACTTTGAAGGACACAGTTCTTTTTTTCTTGGGTACATCAGTCTCCTATTTGTGAGGTAGATTTAAAATAAGTCAGTTTAAGCATACCTGCCATGTTCAACTAGGAAAGGCCACCACCCAGTCGAGTAATAACAAGAGATGGCTGGAACATCCAGTTTCCCCACTTAGATCTGCACTTGGGCAACAATTGTGATGTGGTTTAGTGAGTTTGAGCTGTTTACACTGGCCAGTCTTAGTCATTCCAGTGTGCTGAACTTTTGGGAGTTTCCAAAGACGGGTACAGGAGCAACAAGCAGCACTATCTCATTTTTCTAGTTCCGTGTTAATTACAGTATACTTTAATACATTAATCACTGAACAATAGGTTTCACTAAAACTAACCACAGTTAAGACATCCCTTAGAACCATGAGGACTTCACTCATCCGAAAGTATTCATCAACACATGAGTTCTTGACCATTCACAAAATAACAAATATAACTTTACTTTTGCTTGAAGACTGATAATTGAAATTGTATGTGGTAAGTGCTAGGCTATTGGTAAACATAGAAGTATATTCAGGTGGCAGCATAGGTCTGAATCATTTGAAGTAGCTGGGAATATGTCACCCCAATATGTCTCATTCAGTGTTTATTAGAAACTACAAGTGATCAGGTCCCACCCCCAAGAATTTTGATTTGGAAGGTTTAGGGCAGGCCCAGGAATTTGTATTTTTAAAGAACTCTATACTTCAGCCTCAATAGTGACCCATTATGCTTTGGCTATGTGGACATGTGGTACTTGATTTAATTTGAGGATATAAGATGTTAATGACGTGGGCAGTATGGAAGGAGGTCAGGCATTTGAATTGAGGAAATAATGGAAGTTACCTAATACATGGAGTAGGGAGAGCACTTTGGCCGTGAGAGCACAATGTGTACCTTTTGAGGAACTGATAAGAGAGACGGCCTGTTGTCTGTGAGAACAGGCAGACTACTTTCCTAAGAAGTTGTGTTATCATCCCTTCTCAGGATGTGTATGGTTCTCTTAACCTGCATCAGAATCATCCCAGGTGAAAATACAGATTCTTGGAGACCACACTAAATCTAGTCTGGCTTGCAAACCTAAACCAGAAGGTCTTAGACACCTATCTGGGGCTTCAATTCATAAGGCAGGAAGAGGACACAGAAGATGGATGCAGTTCAGGGAAGAGGAACTGGCATGGTAATAAGGCCGGGAGGATTTTCAAGGTACTTAGCACTTAACAGAGAAGCAGGTGAGTCTTACGCTGTGCGGACTGTAGGTGTCTCTGAGGGGTGGGCATTGTGCCCACAAGTGTCAAGGCTGCTGAAACCAAGCTTGTGAAGCAGATTTCAAAGAAAGCAGTTTAAGACATACCTGCCATGTCCAACTGGGAAAGGCCAATTGAGCATGGAGGGCAGTTGCACAAGATAACAAGCAGGGAGAAAAGAGAGCTCAGTCCTGACATCTCAACAAGCACCCATGCATGCTTTTCTTTGAGGAGTGACTCCCCCTAAAGGGAAGTTGGGCTCTGTGAGCTTGTCTTACATGTGGTCCTTGAACCTTGAGGCCTGTGTAGTCTTCAGAGTATTTCACTTCTCTTTGAGAAGAAGCTGTGGTCCTGTGAGAGGATGTGGCTTCCTAAAGGTCACAGATCTAGCTGGTGACAGAAATAGGACTTGAACCCAGACCTCCTGTTGGCGGGCCCATTATACCACTCTGTGTAACTGCTCTGACACAGGCCACTTCCTGTTGCTGATGGCAAAAACACAACAACACCAATAAACCCACCCGTTTCTCAAAACAGCACAATCAACTTTAAGCCACAAGGGAGATATTTTGGTTCACAAAACCAATCAAGAGAGGAAGAGATGGGAGTGGGCATAATTGGAGCCAAGGACTGCCTTTGAAACAGTGTTGTTAGAACTCTGTATCTCTTGTGTTTGTGTCTTTAAAAAAAAATCTCATTTGTTTTATCTCTGTGTGTTCTTCAAAGTGGTGGGAGTAGGCCTCTAGAAGTCCTGTGGTAGATCCACAGCAAGGACCCAAAAAGAATCCTGGGGCTACCTGGGCAACTCATTTATTAGTGGGGACAGGAAGAGGTGAGTCAACCCCAGGAAGCAGTGAATTGTAAAGAGGAGTGTCCTTATTAGAAGAAGGCGGTGCAGGATCTACTCAGCAGTTGATTTCCTCTAGTTGATTTTGTATATTTGCTGTCAGGGATGGGTGCTAATGGTAAAAGGGGAAAAAAAGGAAGCTTGGTGTCGTGGTTAATACCAATAAATACAGCACTGAAGAGGCAGGATTGCTGCATATACAAGGCCAACTTGGTAAATATAGAGAGTTCCAGTCTAGCCTGCACTGCAGAAAAAGACTGTCTCAAAAAAGAAAAGGAGTAGGCAATAAAGGGGACACTGGCATTTAACCCCAGTGCAGGAGGATCTCTGTGAGTTCAAGGCCAGCCTGGTCTACAGAGCAAGCTCCAGGAAAGCCAGTACTGCATAACTACATAGAGAGACCCGATTTCAAAACAAGCACACACACACACACACACACACACACACACACACACACACACACACACACCCATACCACACACAGCACGTGCAGAAAAAGAAAGAGTATATAATATTTCTCCCCTTTTCCTTATGTCCCCTAGAAATTGTGATAGAGTTTTGACTTCTACTAGGATCATGAAATCCTAGTGTATCATAGGAATTTCTACCTATTCAGCAAATATTTTACATATATTTTCAACCACAAAGACCGGGCCACCTTAATCAGAGACTACAATTAAATATATGTTCTGTCTTTCAAACACACAGGTGTGGATGTGTAATGTAAATTGCTGATTTTTTTCCCTGATGAAAGTTTACTTCCTGGTAAAGGTCCTAAGTGTCATTGGTTTTTTTGTTTGTTTGTTTGGTTGGTTGGTTGTTTTTTTTTTTTTTTCTTGTTTTGACAGATCTGGAAAGGAGTATAGTTCCTGAGGGCAAGTTTTATATCTCTCACTGCCTAGTCTGCCTATTAGTCTATTAAGTCAGTTGAGCACAGGCCAAACACTCACCAGTCATGTGACCATGGACAAACCTGGAAGCTCAGTTTTATTTTCTGTAAAATGGGTCACTGGGAGGCTGGGTAAGGCTGCCTTTTAGACCACCAAAGGGTACTATTTTCTTTTCACTGTTGTGTTTTCATATTGAGGCAGTTTTTACAACATCTGTGGGACCACCTTTAGCTCAGGATATCAGTCACTATCAGCCTGGAGCGATGGCTACATTCCTGGATATGGTGTTGCCTCAGCACATTCATTTCCTTATCTAGTCAAGTTGGCTGGTGTCTGTTCTGCCTTTTTGTCATAGCTGGTTATGAAGCCCTGACATAACAACTGGAAGAAGCTTTTGTAAGTTAAAGCATTTACAGAAATGTAATGTAGCATCATTACTTATACAAAATACCTTTTCTAGTTTGTTCTATATTAACTTATCATCAGCTTTACCCCCACTAAAAGTATACTATTTTCTAGATTTTAAACAGCCAACTTGAATTTGGGTGAATTTTGTTTGAAAATCATATGTTTGAAGGTAAATATTTCATTTTGGAATTAAATTTCTATATGCATTATGTTAATTTTCTATATATACTATATCTACCATATAATTTTGATAGAATAGAATTCTGTGATATGTTAGAGAGTAACACACTTAACTAGACAAGTATAATCATTTAAAAATTATTTATTGTATGTGTATAGATGTTTTGTCTGCATGTGTGTCTGTGCACCATGAACATGCCTGGTGCCCACAAAGGCCAGAAGAGGACATTGGATCCTTTGGGCCTGGACTTACAGAAAGTTGTGAGCTGTCATGTGGGCAATGGGAATATGAAACTGGGTCCTCTATAAAGATGGCAGTGCTCTTAACCAAAGAACTTATCTCTCCAGCCCCAACACCTACAATCTTAAAACTTTTTGGAAAAGGTTGATTGGTTCACCTAAAACTAACCTAGAACCTGTTTTATTTTCTGTTTTCTCTATATTGATTCTTATATTAAGAAGAAAAGCAACCAAATAGTTTAAGACATTGTGGTGCATATCTATAATCACAGTACTTGGGAGGTAGAGGATGGAGGATGGAGAGTTCAAGGCTATCCTCAGCTGAGTTCAAGCCAGCCTGGGCTGTACATGAGACACTGTTTTAAAAAAATAGTATCTGAGCCGGGTAGTGGTGGCACACACCTTTAATCCCAGCACTCAGGAGGCAGAGGCAGGTGGATCTCTGTGAGTTTGAGGCCAGCCTGGACTACAGAGCGAGATCCAGGAAAGGCACAAAGCTACACAGAGAAACCCTGTCTCCAAAAACAAAAAAAAAAATCTGTATTTATTTATTCTTATCCAGGACACTTTGTTTCACATAGGTTTAAAGATTTTTAATCACACTATTTCTTTTAGTCCTACAGGGTCACATGTTGAATGGTGTAAACAGCTTATAGCTGCTACAATTTCTAGTCAGATTTCAGGTTCAGTGACATCAGAAAATGTGTCCAGAGATTACAAGGTAAGTAACATTGAGTGTTTAATTCATATTGGTATAATAATGTACCCAAGAAGCTTTGTAGTTTTAGTTTACATGAGCCTTTGATTGCTTGATGTTAAATTACCCTTTGGGAGTGGCAAGGACAAAGGTACTCTAGTGTTCAATCTGAAATATAGAAGGAAAATATTACCTATGTCTCTTGTTTGTGGTTATAGTTTTATAATTGACACGAAAAATTGTCCTAAGGTTTTGAATAATTAAAAAAAATCAAGCTCTGTTTTATCATGTGTAGTGGGCATAATAGAGCATGCTTGTGACATGCCAACAGTTGCAAGAGAGTTTGAAGCTAGCCTATTCTCTACAGAAAAAATTCAAGGCCAGGGTGGTTACAGAGTGAGACTCCCATCAAACAGCAGGCAAACAAAAAGAAACATATTTGCTTACTTTGTTACTATTTTGTGTAGAAATCACATCGTGATGGACATTCCTTTACTTCACAAACATGTTTTTGTATTTAAGTATTGCATTTGAGTATTCATTATTATATGGATACTTCATTCTAAACCACTTACAACACAAAATGGGACAGCCTCATTTTTCATGCCTTACTGGTGTGAGAAACCTTTATTTATTTTAAAAGTTGGATTCCCTGCATAGTCTTAAGATTAAGAGTGAGCGGTTTCTTGGTGGCACAGACTAGTTCCTAGCACTGTCTTGGAGCGTAATACATACTCAGTAACTAGTTATTGAATGAAAGAACAAGCAAAAATCTCAGGTATTCCATCTTTGTTCAACCTACAAACTAATGTTTTGATTCCAATAAGCTGTTAACAGATATACTAAGTGAAACTGTTGATATTTTCTTTGTGTTATCTTGAATTTTGTTTTGGTTTGATCTGGTTGTTTTTGCCTGATAGGAATGAGTGAATGTTTCACAACCATACATGGAATACATTCAGTTATCAGTGATCAGCTCTCAGAAGCTAGCAAATCTCACAAATAGTTCAAGAGCTTCAGCCAACATCCTACTTCTTCATAACTGCTCCTTGTTGAGGACTTTTAACATCCTCTCCTTGTTAGATCAGAACACAAGTTCAGAAACAGACTCCAGCACCTGTGGTTGAGATTTGCTCTTATGCTGTCCACTTCACCAAGCCAGCAGTTGCCATTGATTATGCTTACCAAAGATTGTAGACTAGTAGAAATGGGATAACCTGCCACTCGAAGACTGGTAGTATATCTCTTAATAGTGTCTCCAGTTTCTGATTTTCATGCATGGTGACAAGGGAGCATCTGAGGCTGTTGGTCTTCAAAACCTAATCAGGAAGCCACTCTGTGTACGGTTGGGAGATGCTGGTAGCCTGTTGCCCCCACTTACCTGAAAGTGTCCATTGAAGGACCCCTGTCAGCAGAGGATAGTGCTCATACTTTGGGATGATTTTCTTTATTGCCTATTAAAAGTTAACTGTAAAATTTTCATTATGGCTTAATGGTGTCATGTGCGTTCTGCACAAGAGTAAATGCAGCTAGTTATGGTGGCACACTTCAGTAATCTCATCATTTGGGAGGCTGAGGCAGGATGATCAACTCTAGTTCAAGGCTGACCTGAGCTACATACTGAATTTACTGCTAACCTGGGATACTGTCTGAAAATACTAAAACAAATAACAAATATGATTGAATGTTGACCAGCTTTCTAATGTATATGTTCACTGGATCTTTTACATGAAATAACTAAAGTTTTATCAATTTCAATCTATTTGCAAATTTTGTGTAGCAGAATAAGCTCATGCTAAAATGGTTTAATAGTTGCTTTTCATAAAAAATAAGGTTTTCATATATTTCGAAAATTGAAGTTTAAGTTCCTACATCAGATCATAGTGAAAGCTTTTGATGGATTATTGTAAAATATCATGTTTTATAACTAAATCTACAAAGTTGACATTAAGTTTGTAATTTGTGAGTTATATCTTCTTCAAAGAATTATATTTTAAATAATAAAAGCATAAAATATTCCTAAACTACACAAACTCTTATACATGCTACTGATAAAATTCAGAGTAACCATTTGGGGTTTTGGAAACTCTCTGGCATAGGAGTCATGGCATAGAGTTGGACCTAAAGGTTCAGATACAGTTTCAGGAGGATTGAAGTTGCAGCCATTAATAGATAAAATTTGACATTATTTATTGTGTAAATATCTTATTGAAAACACATACAGATTTGGTGCTGACTCCTCTCTCCTCCCTCCTCCTCTTAGGCCTTCTCTTCTTTCAGGTGCCCTCCCCTTCTCTATTTCTTTCCTCTCAAATATACTCCTCTTTCCTTCTCTCCTTCCTTCCTATTACTTCCCTCTCCTCCCCCTTCTCTTTCTACTCCCCTCCTCTCTTCTCCCCTCTACCCTGTCGTCTTTCTGTTCTCCCCTTCCCTCATCTCTCCTCTCTTTCAGTCCTTTCCTCCCCTCTTCCTTTTCCTTTTTTCCCTTTCCTCCTGTCCTGTCTCCTCTCCCTCTCTTCCCCTCCCTCCTTTCTTTCTCTGCCCTCTCTTTCCCATACTCTCCTTTCCTCTTCTCTCCCTCCCCTTTCTCTTCTGTTTCTCTCCCTCCTTCTTTCTCTCCTCTCTCCTCACCTCCCTTCCCTTTCCATCCATTTCTCACTGTACCTCCCTCCCTTCTTCTCTTCTCACCTGTTTGCCCTTTTCTCCCATGATTTGCCTCCCTTTTCTTCTCTCATCCCTGTTTTCTGTTTTCTTTTCTTCCTCCTGCTTCTTCACCCTTTCTTTTCCTTTCCCTCCCCTCTTCAACCCTTTCTTAGTCTATTCTCCCCACTCTACCCCTCCCATTCTTCTCTACCCTCCTTTCTGTGTTTTGTTCCTTTTGCATCTCTCCTTTCCCATTTGTTCTTCCCTTCTCCACTGCCTTCCCTGTCCTTGAATCTAATCTCCACATTTCCTTCTCCTTTCCCCTCTGCTCTTTTCCTTTCTCTTCTCCTCCCCTCTTTAGTCCTCCTTCCCTCCTTTCCTATCCCTCATCCCCTCCCCTTTCTCATGCTCTCCTTTCTCTCTCCCTTCCCATTTTATTCCTTCTTCTCCTCTCTACACAAAGTCCACATCTTCATGGCTCTTCCCTCTAGTGTATTGGGAGTACAGGTGTGTACTATACCTAGTCTCCTACAGTTCTTATGCGCATGGAAAGACCAATGTTACAAGTGTATGTAGTTACAGCAAGCTCAATTTGTAGAGGTAGAATTGTGAAATGAGAGGTATTTGGCAGACATTGTCACACCTGAAAAGGTAGACAGATACTACTAGTTAATAAATGCTTACATTAATACCAAGCCATCCTAAAAAATTAACCTGATAATTAACATTATTCGAAGAAATGTAATAAAATGTTTTCTTTTATTTTTATCCTCCCTTTGCCAGCTCGATTGCTTTCATTTAACCAGGCCAACCTACAGAAAAAAATCTTGAGGGTGGGTTTGTGAATATGATCAAAATACATTGTATGAAATTCTCAAAGAATTAATGAAGACATTATTTCAAATTTTCTCCTTGAATTTGTAAAAAAAAAAAATTAATACCATGATCTGAATGTAATTTTCATAGAGTAGATGCAGTAATACTTTTAGAAATTATACTGAAATATTTCCAGGGACTCAAATATTCTATTGAGTAGAAATGACTCAACCAATCATAACTTCCATTATTTGGAAAGTACAACTTGTGCAGGAAGAGGGAGTTTTATGGAGTAGTACAAACAGTACTGGCTAGCTCTATGACCTTGTGTAATCTCTCAGTGTGCAAACTTGTATAGTCTTTGGGGTTTCCTTAACTGTAATGCTGAAAGATTCATGATCAGATTTTAAGTGTCTAAATGCCTTTATTTCTAGAATGTTTTTCAATTATGTTTTGTTCAAAAGGACTTGATTCCGGTCTGCTTCTACCAGTTAGTGTACTATGTGACCATCTTGCTTCTTCTGGATCTAGCATTATCATTATCATTTCTCTGTTCCTCTGCTGTCTTTTTACTCCCCTTACCCTGTGCACACAGTAATCCCTAGATTTCATCTTTAAATAGTGTAAACTATAAAAAAAGGAGAAAATTGGGAGGGCTGTATATAAATTTTCTCCCCTTTCTTAGTTTAGACTATTTGGCAAAGAAATCTAGGTATTGTTGAACCAGGAGTGTGCTGTAATTAGTCTCTGGATCCTCAAAAGAAATTTCCAGAAAGACTTTGGAGGGAAGGGGGAAACAGTGTATGGGGAGCACTTTATTATGCTTGAATTAGGTCTTGGTTCATGTTTCCTGAGTTGGGTGCTAATCTATGAAAATGGAAGCTTGAGCATGCCCTTTCAGGATCCACTGTCATAATCTATGGCTGAAAACCTGGCTACATGACTTATTAATCATAGGTTGCAGACTCAGATGCCTACATGGGACAGTTAACAAGGAAGGCAAATATAGGAGAGAGATGTGGAGAATTGAAGGTATAATATGTCCCTATAGAAGCACTTTTACAAAGCCCCATTATTATCTGTCTGAACAATAGCTGTCTAGTTTTAAATCACTATAGTAGATGAGAAAAGATGATCATTCTATGAAAAGGAATTATGTTTTTAAAATGTAGAGACTTGCTTTTCTGCTTCTGCAAAGGTAGAGCAAATGGATTTTTCTTTTTCACACTGAATATAACTAAAATATCTGGAAATGGTCTATAAAATAACACAGGAACAACCTGAAGTACAGTAAAGTAATGAAGAAAAACTGGCCAGAATTCTCAATACCCCCAAATTGACAAGCTACAGAACAGGAGAGAGTATATTTGAGAACCTCAAACTGATAAACACTAATATCTAGAATACATAAAGAATACTCAAAACTTAACAGTGAAAATGAACAAAAGGTATGAGGCTTTTCACTAAAGAAGCTCATGAAAAGTTCATCAACATCATTGTAATAGAGGTAAGGGGTGGACTTGCAAATTAAAGCCATGCAGAGATATCACCACATGCCTGTCAGG